ACAGATTGCCTTCAGAAGTTGTGGGGGCTCCATCACTGGAGGTTTTTAAGAAAAGACTGGACAGCAACCTGTCTGAAATGGTTTGGATCTCCTGCTGCATTCTAATTGTGATATTGGACACTGCATTTGCTATATATAAAGACTATAGTGTTCCTTACCTCTCTTGAGGCGCAATTTGTTTATTTATTTTTTAAAAAAAATTCCTCTGTGGCATAAATGCCTTCAGTTTTCAGTGATTGAAATCGTTGCCCATGAAGCTGCTAATTTCCAAGGCAAATTGGATTAGCATAATAATTGTGTCCTTGGGTCCCTTACTGATGGTAAACTTAATTAGGTCAATCTTAAGGACCTGCTATTTGAATTCATCTTCTGAATGATTGTTAATTAGCCCTGTTGAAGATGCTCACATATACTTATAATCCTCTTGTTTCTTAAGGGGGTTAAGAAGCAGAGGTTGTTTGCAAACAAAACAAAATAAAAATCCTTTATAGATTTTTCAAATTAGCTTTGTTTGCTTGGCCAAAAAGAAACGAATACTTAAAGGCCTCCCCCTCCCATTTTCTTTGTTTCTTGGAAATATTTGTCATAATACTTCAAAATAGTAGCTATTCTTTTGTTTGGCAAGTAATCATGCCTAAATATTTTGCTGACTTCACTTTTCTTGTCCCCAGAATCTATTTTCTAGGAATTAGAGATCACCCACTCCTGAACTCTTAAGAAAAACAGTCATCCAAAACAACTTTATCCCTCAATAATTTCATACTCCTATAGTCACTTGTACAAACAAGCCTCTCTTTAAATCTACCCCAGCAGTTGCTTTCAGAAGCAAGGGAAAAAAAGCAGAAAAATGTAGTCTTTTTTCCCCCCCTGTAAATATACAGCAATAAAAACAATAACTTATTTTAGATGCCTTTACAGACTTCAGAATAAAAATTGTTGGTCCGTTTTAAGAATCAAAGTTTTTAGTGAACCTTCAAAATGTTCAGGTAGTCTATTCACAGTATATTTTGGAACCATAGGTAAGGAATTAAATGCCTCTGTTCTTGCCTCCTGTTATTGTACTACTGTACATATTATTTTTATTTATTAGATTTATACAGTTCCACCCCCACCCATCTCACCTAAGTGGTTTTGGGCAGCTCACAACAATTTAAAACAACAATCCAATAAGAGCAAGTTAAAAACCAATATACAAGCATATAAAATCATCATTAACTCATCAGCAGTCAAATCCATCCTTGTTTCAAGCCCCACAAAGCCATTGTAAAATTTCCCCATCATTGACATACATCAAGCATGGTGGCAGAACCATCCTTCAGGGCCTTCTTAAAGGCTACCAGGGTCAAAGCTAGTCTACCTTCTGTGGGGAGTGGGGGATGATGTCCTGTTTATGTATTTTTGAAAGCTCATATGCTAGACCTGACTCACAAACACCAATTCAGTAATCCTTGATTTATGACCGCTCACTTAGCAATTATTTGAAATTATGATGAACCTCCCAAATGGTATTTACGATGCACATTTAAAGTTCAGACCACCAGTTCCACACACACAGACACACACACACACAGTCACATTTTGGGCACTTGTCAACCAGCCTGCATTTATAGCGGTTTGCAGTGTCCCATGGTCATGCAATTTATGATGCTCTTGCTAGAAACCAGCATTTATTTTTCATTTCTGGCAAAAAAAATGTCCACTGAGGGCAATGGCTTCCCTTAACAACTGTAGTGTACTGAAATATATGTCATAAAATCAGGTTGGTTTTGTGTGCCTTGACTTACAATAGTCATGATACACGATATTAATTATGGGCTCCATTATAGTTGTAAGTTGAGAATTAGTTATATTGAAATGCTGTCTCTTTTCTCCATCCATTCCATAATATTCTCACTGTGGTACCTGCTCAGTGATCTCAGAAAGAACAACCAAGGAGGTCCCACCCTAGCAGTCCAAAACCAAATGAGATTTGTAAACTAATCCCAGGTATGTCAATCAGAGGAGTACCAAGGACTACAGGCTGTTATATCCTGTGGATAACTCAAGAGTTCTCTGAATGTTGCTAAACTACATCTCTGAACATCCTACCATATTGTTCATGCTTTGTAGGGAGGCTGAAAACTGTACAGGAAACCCTCAACTTGCAACAGTTTGTTTAGTGACCATCCAAAGTTACAAAAGCACTGGAAAAAAGTGACTTACAACCATTTTTTCACAATTACGACCATCGTAGCATCTCCATGGTCACATGATCAAAATTCAGACACTTGGCAACTGACTCATATTTATGACAGTTGCCCTGGGGTCATGTGATCACCTTTTGAGACCTTCTGACAAGCCAAGTCAATGGGGAAGCTAGATTCACTTAACAACTGTGTCACTAATCTTACAACTGCAGTGATTCACTGTGTCAAGAAAGGTTGTAAAATGGATCAAAATTTGCTTAACAATGGAAATGTTGGACTCAATTATGGTCATAAGTGAAGGACTACCTGTAATTCAGCAACTCTCAGTAACAACCCTTGGTCTTAATAGAAAGGCTGAGAAGTGATTGTCCTATAACTGGCAAATGTTAAGTATGGGCACAGAAAAAGATGTTGGACTGGAGATCAGCTAACATAATAAAGATGTAAAGTTCTTTTCTCCTTGTTGTATTATCATTTGTTGGTCTTGTGTTACAACCATAATAAACTTTAGTCTTTCCTACAGTAAGCATGATCCCTGCTTTGTAGCTATTGTATACCATAAAATGCATGTACTGGATATACTGAATATACTGGTAAAATGCACAACATACTATTCCTGTATGTGACACACATGCACATTCACTCCATGCCTACCCAATTTACTTTCTAAAACACCTCCCGAGGTAAGTACTGCTCTATTTCATGTGCATTCATACACTCCTTTTTTTAAAAAAAGGAATTCAATCAAGGTTATCCTCTTGTGTTGCAGAGGCTATCTTTTCTGAATGGTTTCCTCCATAATCTTTGCTTCTTTTTAAAAAAACTGTTTGCAAACTACCGTGACAGTTCTAATAACCAGCTCTAGATACAGTAATTGCACCAATTATTGTATCGAGTTGAAGTGAAATTTCCCAGAAGACATTTTTTTCAGTGAATATTTGAGATTTTTTACCCACCATCCTCCCCCGCCTTTATGCTCCCAAACGACACTAAACCCATGCACTATAGAAAGTGTTAAATGGTGATCAGAGCCCCAAATATGTACACACGATGCTTCTTGCTATGCTCAAAATTTAAAAGAAAGGGAAACTTGCAAAGATTGATGAGAGAGAGAGAGAGAGGGAGGGAGAGAGAACGAGAGAAAGATGATGAAGATATAGATAGATAGATGATGAATGGATGGATGGATGGATAGATAGATACATAGATAGATACATAGACAGACAGACAGACAGACAGACAGATGATAGAGATATAGATAGATAGATGATGGATGGATGGATGGATGGATGGATGGATAGATAGATACATAGATACATAGACAGACAGACAGATAGAGATAGATGATGAAGATATAGATAGATAGATGATGGATGGATAGATAGATAAAAGAAGAAGAAGAAGAAGAAGAAGAAGAAGAAGAAGAAGAAGAAGAAGAGGAGGAGGAGGAGGAGGAGGAGGAGGAGGAGGAGGAGGAGGAGGAGGAGGAGGAGGAGGAGGAGGAAGATATAGATAGATGATAGACAGACAGGTATGTTTCTGTCTAAACTCTTGGAATATTTCTCTATAACTTTGATTTTATCCTATTTGATAAAATAGGATCTTGCCCACAATTTCTCTCTCAGCAGGAGAAGCATGTTGAGATGGCCTTTGCACAGGTGGACTGGAGCTGATGCCCAACACATCTTGAGGATACCATGAGAAGAAAGGCTGTGTTTGAGAACTGAAATACCTTGAGTTGATACCCAGAATCTAAGGAAGCCCAAAAGCAGCTGAATGCACCATGTATCACAATAGACCAGGTAACCATTCTTCAGTCCAAATAAGTGTTTTGGACTTTCAAAGAAATCACAGCTAGTAAATCATTAGTGGGTTCAACTGAGGTCTCCAGCAATCCTGTACCTTAACTCTGCTATCCAAGATGGAAGTCTTGGAAGAACTGATCCTGTTTATCAGCAGTCTCTACAATTGGACAAACCCAATCCTTGGGCGGGAAATGGCAAAATTGTTTCGCAGAGGTCAAATAGGTCAACCTGGCTTGCAACTGATCCCACTCTGGAAAAGACCCAATGCGACTAGTTTTCCCAGAGCCCCTTCCTCATTGTCCCCCAACCGAGTTAGGGCTGGATCTTTACAGCAGACCCGAATTGGGGCTGCCGACCCATTTCCACGTCGCTCCCTCATCAGACATATGGACTACGCAGTCCCGAAAGGGAAGGACTCCGGGCGGCCGGACTAACCGGGAGTCAGTTGCTCGGCGCTAGGGGTTTAGAGCCGGAATCGCGGGCTCCGAACTAAACAAAGAGGGAATCGGAGGCAAGACGTCTAGATCTCCCTAAATCCCGGATCGGGAGATCTGCTGCAGTCCGCCGGTTACAGAAACGTCCAGACCGCTAGAACTGCAGTTGGGGGAAACCTCTGGGGTTTGGGCCGCCCTTGACCTGCAGGGGGCAGCCGGCCCGGGCATGGGGGCGAGCAGATCCGAAGATCCGAGGAGAAGGGAGCCCGTGCAAACCTTCGGAGAGACGCTACTCCAAGGTCGCCCCCCATAAATTAAGTCTCGGCCCCCGCTGCTTCAGTCTCGCCAGTTGCTCTGCCCCGATTCCCGGACATTCCCCACCCACCCACCCACCTTCCCCCGAGCTCTCCAGCGCTCCCTGCCCGTCTTCACCCCCGATCTCCTCCTTGGAGACTGTCAAGGCTGGGGATCCTTCCAGATCGACCCGCGGGAATTTGCTTCGCGAGAGATCCGGCGACCGTGCCTTTCCCTCCGCCGAGCAGATACAACAAAGAAGCCGGCAAGTTTGGATTTACCTTGGAGCTCGGAGCTGGGGCTGTGTCTGGCTGCTGCTGGCCGGAGTGCGCCCATCAGCCGCACCGAGGCAGGCTGCGCCCTCGGCTCCCGTGTCCAGATGCGCCTGGTGGGCTGCCGCCTTCTCCTCCTGCGGCTCCCCTCCCTCGGCGGGCGGCGACACAGCGCTCCCTGGAGTCCGGCGAGCTGCTCCAGGGCTTCTCCTGGCAGAGGGAATGCGCCTCGGTGCTCGCTCGTTCGTTCGCTCGCTCGCTGCGGGAAAGTCTGCCCAGAATCCTCTGTCGAGAAAGGGAAAGGGAAAGAGGAAAGGGAAAGGGACGTCCCCCCTCCTTCCCCTCCTTTGCTCCAGTTTTTGGCCTGAGAGCCGCCTTCTAGTGATTACAATTCAGACAACCTTTCCAGAAATTAATATGCCTTTCCCGTCCCTGAGTTGGACCTTAGATTGATTTGGCAGCGAGAGTCCCATGCAAAGTGCTGAAATTTGCTAGGGAAGATGTTCCCGAGTCTCTGCCTCTTATTTAATGCATTCACGTCTTTCCAGGATACTTTGTAAACTGCCATTCTTTCGAGAAAGTTTCAGAGAGGTTCTCTGTTCTCCCTTGATTTTACCTGCCAAACAAGGACTTTCCCAAATATGAAGGATGAAGGGGGACAATGAATGAATGAATGAATGAATGAATGAATGAATGAATGAATGAATGGGAGACCTTCCCATTTTACCTCATTCCAGTTTTCCCCAGCCGGGAACCAAATTATATAGGGGTCCAAAGGACTGGGGGGGGGGGGTTCTCATAATAATTCCAACACAGTTTGACCCCAAGGTCAGAGAAGGAGAGGTAGGTATCATAATGTCCATTCTTAAATAAGCCTATTTCATTTGGGACTAGAAAACGGTGCATCCAGATATAAAGAAGTCTATATGAACAGGGTTTCCATATGATTAATTCCCTTAATACCCTGTTTCCCCCAAAATAAGACATCCCCTGATAATAAGCCCAATCGGGCTTTTGAGCGCATGGCAATAAGGCCAAGTACTTATTTCAGGGTTCAAAAAAATATAAGACAGGGTCTTATTTTCAGGAAAACACAGTATTGATTTAGCAAAGTCAGGTACCCTATAATAGTTCCAATTCGGCTATCTGCCGAATTGGATTTCTGCCAAAACTTTATTTTGCAACATTGCAATTACCCAAGGAGGTGAGTGCACATAGCTTAAGTGCTGAAATTTGTGCAAATATTAATGCTTAGGTATAAATAGGGACATAATTTTGCTGGCTTTACCCTATATTTTTTGTTGTCTTAAGAGCTGGATTTCATTTCCAGCTGTCCCAAAGCTGTCTATCATAGGAGAGATGGGTCCACAACTTTTCTTTAATGTGGCTATTGTACATATGGGAAATTATCTGTGTAAATCCATAGAAAATCTTTTTTTAAAAAATCTGTAAACTAAGTTTAACAAGGGTTCCTAGGCCTTCAGATTGCATGGATAGAAACACAAATGGAAATTAAATCTACTCATATGGTCTCTTTTGGGGGCGAAGCAAACTCTCAGTGTCAAAGTATCAACATTTTGATGTTACGGAAAACTTCAAAAAATACAACTTCCCTGCTTGCATGTATTCCATGAATGATATTTTACAGCTGCATTTGCTCCTAAAATAATCCTCCCTTAACCTTGCTGCTTCCAACTTCAAAACTCTTAATCCAGTCACAGTAGGGAAAATTGAACTTGTCATAAATAAATATTTGAAGGGGATCAAGTGTGCCTGAGAAAATATTACCTCACCATATGGAAAAGTTTCCATGGTCCAACCTTGACAGTGATTTAGAAAGTTTAGATGGTCCAGGAACTATAACTCAACTGGGTGAGCTCAGCCAGACATCACTGTGCCCATATACTATACTTAGCTATGGCATTGTGTGATTGGTTTGGTTGTCTTAATGTATATACAGTCAGAGCCGCATGGTGGGCTAGAGGTGGAGCTCTCTCCTCATAGCAATAGCACTTAGACTCATATACCGCTTCATAGTGCTTTACAGCCCTCTTTAAGCAGTTTGCAGAGTCAGCCTATTGCCCCCAACAATCTGGGTCCTCATTTTACCAACCTCCAACCTCAGAAGGATGGAAGGCTGAGTCAACCTTGAGCCTGGTGAGATTTGAACTGCCAAATTACGGGCAGCCAGCAGTCAGCAGAAATAGCAGTATTGCATTCTAACCACTGCTCATAATTAGGGAGCTGCGGGTTTGATCCTAGGTAGTGGCAGATATTTCTCTCTCTGGGGACAAAGAGAAACTATCTGCTGTGAACTCCACGTAGGTATCAAGAAGGGTATCCAGCATGTAAATGCTCAGCTCCATTCAGTTTCCCTGACTCCACCCAGATGCACGGGTTTACAGAGTTGTTAAAAGAAAAAAAAGTGTATATATATTCAAACCTTGTTTGATAATAAACATTGTAAAATATGTGTAAAATATGAAAAAAATGTGAAGGCTTATCCTTACTAACAACTATTGTTTGGTCTTATGTATCTTTCTAAATGTCACTCAAACTTTCCTGTTGACTTGCATCAATTCCTTTAATCATATTAATGGAAATAGAATAGAATAGAATAGAATAGAATAGAATAGAATAGAATAGAATTTTTTATTGGCCAAGTGTGATTGGACACACAAGGAATTTGTCTTGGTGCATATGCTCTCAGTATACATAAAAGAAAAGATATGCTCATCAAGAATCATAAGGTACAACACTTAATGATAATCATAGGGTACAAATTAGCAATCAGGAAATATAAATATAATCGTAAGGATACAAGCAACAAAGTTACAGTCATACAGTCATAAGTGGAAGGAGATGGGTGAGGGAATGATGAGAAATTAATAGTGCAGACTTTGTAAATAGTGTGACAGTGTTGAGGGAATTAGTTGTGTGTTTTATCTTTCTGGCTGTTCACTGCCCTGAGTCCTTCGGGAGTAGGGCGGTATATAAATCTAATAAAATGAAATGAAATGAAAATGATTTTGTTTAGCAGAGTGATGGTGTTCGGAAAAAAACTGTTCTTGTGCCTAGTTGTTCTGGTGTGCAGTGCTCTATAGCAGGGATCCCCAACCTTTCGGACTCAGGGATCACTAAATTCCTAATTTTAAATCCCACGGACCACTAATATGATCTGCCTAATGACCTACTGGGTGGGCGTGGCTGGTGGTCATGTGACTGGGTGGGTGTGGCCAACGATGGCCAACTTGATGTCACTCACATCAAGGGGCGCCTCGCTGGCCTCTACTCACCCCTCTCCTCCCAACCTCTCCTTGCCTCCCCACCTGGGCTCCTTAGGGCCCCAACAGGAAACAGTTGTTGGAGTTAAGCAGCTACCAACAAGAAAGAGTTGGCAAAACAGCTGGCTCAGTTCAACCGAGCCAGAAGGATCTGACCAAGATCTGACCAAGAAGGAGGCTCAGCAGAAGCATCTCACACAGGACTACGAACATAGGCTTTTCAAGCAGAGGGAAGACCTGCAGGAATACAAGGCCAGGTACCAGCGCCTGGAGGCTCAGCGGGCTGAGATGGTCAGCCAGTTCTAGGCCACGATGCACTCCCACTGGAACAAGGCCCTCCGGCTTCTTGCCACCAGCAGTACTTCCCTCCAGCCTTCACCCAAAGCCCCACACCAGGAGGCTTAAGCAGACCCCAAGTCGGAATTTCTGCCCTCCTCCAACCCACACAAAAAGACCCCAAAAGGGGACACTCTCTGCAGCAACATAGTGTTTTTTCTGTAAACATTTTTATGCACATTTAATTGAATCAGGATATAAAAACAAGAAATTGGCTGGGCCTTTTCCTGTCTCTGTCCTATCATCCTGACACAATAAATCATGACCACGCATAGGCTTGCTCAGAGTTGTGTTGTTCTAACCATACAAATGAGCCGGTTAAGTATGCACCCTGCTCTGTGTTTGGCCTTTTGTCTGTTCTTGGAATACATTTGGCAGTTGCAGAGTACAATTTATTAATGCAAGATCAGATTCCAGGCACCCAAATTCTATTCATCTATCTTTCCCCTTCTATTGGATCAGGCTTTGCCCTGCTCCTTTGCTATACCAAGCTACTGTGTAAAGCATGGGTTATTTTCCCAAAGTACTAATTATATTCCCCTCCCCCAAATTAATAACAAGTTGGGTTTCATGATGAAGCTTCCTGGATGAGAAGCGAAACATCATGTTCATCATGGAAAAAACAGTCCAGTTGCTTTTTGAAAAAGCATCTTTGACACAACTATGACCTGGATGACTGAGACTCTTGACAGACAAGTTGGAATTCAGCCATTTGTTTTAACCAAGGGAATAAAGACAAGAAACAAGAAATATAATTCCACAGCATATAATTGTTAGGAATTTAAAAAAAAGAAAATTGAACAGTTAGCCATGATCTTCAGCAATCCATTAAATAGATAGATAGATAGATAGATAGATAGATAGATAGATAGATAGATAGATAGATATAGATAGATAAAAATCCATTGATATTTCACATATGCTTTGAAAGGGCAAACAACAAACAGATGCTGGGTGCAAGTAGAGCACACACAGCTGGAAGAGCAGAGGTGCGTCTCCATCACTTCATGCATTTTAGATAAATGTATGGGGAGTTTCTAGCTCGGTGTTTTCTAAATTTGGGAATCTCCAGTGGCTTGGACTTCAACTCCCGGAATTCTTAGCAATGGCCATTGTTGGCTGAGGAACCTCTGGGAATTGAAGTTCATGCATCTGGAAATGACAGAAACAGTGCTTCTGGCCTATGGATCAGTACACCTGCCAGCCTTTTCTTTCATGGCACATTGCTAGAAAGATAATGGTCAGGGTAAGTCTTCTTAATGTTATTGATTTTCTATAGTGAGAGATTACATTGGCCTATGAGGTGACACATCTTTTGTTATTGGTCAAGGAAAGAACCTGCCATCCCAAGTCTGTTTGGGTCAACTGAGAAATTGAGACTTGAATAGGGAGATGATGATACAGAAATATCTCCATTTAAAGATTTCACATAGAATTTATACTTAAGTATTAACTTTGACATTTAGGTTTTGCTATAAGCCTATATAGACTTTTTTTTCTCTGCCTCAGCTTTGTCAACATTGACCAGTTAAGCGGTATTGTGCTCTTAAGGATACAAATTATATTGCAGATTCATATTCAGCTTAAGAATATCATACAAATACTCTTCCTCTTTCCGTATCTATTTTTTGTGTGAGTAA